AGAGATATGAAGAGATGGATTTGATTTGAGGACAAGAGGAAGGAGGGAGATGAGGTTATTTATAGTTGGAGGAAAGGAAAAATGAATATTGAATCCAGCATATGGAAATTGAATAACCCGTGGATGCATACATGCTTTGTATTGCTTTATGTGTTGGTAATTTTTTATTAGTACATTATTGGGGAGTGACTTTGCTTTTTGGAAGGGACCAGAGTGCTTTATTACTTGGTTGAATGAGTGAAATAGTTAAAATATGTTTCAAAGTGAAGGAGTTTTATAACTACGGATTTAACTGTCACTAAAATTTATTTATGGTAAAAAATACCTATTCTTACGGCAGGTTTGAAGTCCGAAGGTATATGACTTATAAACTTACAATTTTAAAGACACACTATAAATGACTTTTGTATAAGGGAAACATTTTTGTATAAATCATACCCAATGGTTTATCACTTTATACAATGAGTATAGCATAAAATCTACCTAAATAAAGACAATCATATATGGGTGTGTAAAAATAAAATTGATTTTATCCGTTCGATGATTTTACATTAATTACCTTATTTATTGATCATGCATGACAAAAATCATAAAAATTTGGTGTGTGTAACAATAGGAAATTAAATCCAAAATTTACTTGTATTTAGAAAAATATATGATACGTTGAATAAAGTTTTGTTGATATACTATCATCTACGTTTACAATTTTATGAAATGTTAGAAATGTTAGTTTGAGGGTTGGACTGTAGGAATTTATTTTCTACACATAATTAAGTGAAATAACTTAAACAAGCCTTACTCTTGAGTACTAAGATATATCACTCTTTTCTCTTTCTCTTTCAAAGGATTTTCAAACAACTGATAGGCCTTCCTCATATTGAATCTAGTGTTTTCCTTATCGCTTGGTACAATCTTTATCATAAGGGCTGACTTGGGGCAACACATATAGAGTAAATGCGTCTGAGCTCAAATGTCGGCCCCTTGGTAAGTACAACAATTCCACCAAGGTCGCTGCTAAAAATATGATCTTAGACAGCGCTTTTAAAAAGCGCTGGTAAAAGTGTTGCTTTAGAAAGCGCTGGTAATGGACTACTTTAGACAACACTTTTAAAAAAACGCTGTCTAAAGTCATATAAAATTTATAAAAAAAAAATATCAAAAGCGCTGCTAAAGGGTCACATTAGCCAGCGCTTTTCAAAAGCGCTGCTAAAGGACCATATTAGCCAGCGCTTTCTAAAAAACGTTGTCTAAAGACATATAAATTAAAGTTAAATAATAGAATAATAATGTTTCTCTTTTCACAGACTCACGAACGAAAACTCTTTCCCTCTCACAAATCGTCGCTGTCTAAGCTCATTCCGCCGTCGTCAGGCTCCGTCCGCCGTCCTTTCCCTCCGTCCTCCACCATCTCTCTCGGTTGTCCTCCACTGTGACCGGCCCTTTCTCAAGCTAGGTTCTTTCTTGAATCCAAGTTTTACTAAAATCATGATAAACTAAAATGCTCAATGTTGTTCTTTGTAAAATCAATTTGGGAAGTGGTTTTATTTGTTAGAGTGCATTAACATGGCTAAGAGCAAGCTAATAGAGAAGTTGTTTGTAGCATGATTCTTGTTGGCATAAGTTTATGACTAGTTTATCAGATTCTATTTCTTTTATGGTGTAGATCATTATTTGACTGGTTTGTGTGGTTCTGGGCAAAGTACTATTGCTAAGAAGCTTTGTTGACATCCACAATTCAAAGGTAGTAACTTATTACCTCTTCTTCTTTGTTTCATATAAATGACTTATAATATAAACAATTATATGATAAACGCAGAAATAAGTTGTTTAATCATATAGGGTGTTAGTCCTCTAAATTATTTCATCTCATTAGACATTCAATCATAGTAAATATCCAAATTTTATGATTTTAATAGCATAACTACAACATAAGGACTAGTTACTTCACTTCACATATAGTAGAATATATATATATATATATATATATATATATATATATATATATATATATATATATATATATATATATATATATATATATATATATATATATATATATATATATATATATATATATATATATATATATATATATATATATATATATATATATATAATTAGTAGAATTTGGTTATGAGATATATAGGTACTAAATTTCTAGAAATAATCCGTTTAAATCATATAAAATTTCTAAAAGTTTGTATTAATCTTCTTATAGTGTATATACTATTTTCTCTATTTTGTTCATGTGCATTGACACTTAAATTCATTAGCCTCCTAAATGGACTGCTTTTGTTTGTTTTTGATGATCCCTCTGTATTAGTGTAGTTAGTCAAAGATCATCACCGATTCGAAGAACATCAAAGTCGTATCATCTGTCATCGACACCAATAACCCCTTTTCTTTCATTGGTAAGTCAAGTTCAAATTCAGCATTATTGATTCTTTTATTTATTTACTATCTCCTTTCTATATTTATTTTTGGTCCATATTAATAACTCTAGAAATAAATTTCTAGAAATAATTCGTTTAATTCATACAAAAAGGGAATAATCCGTTTATAGTGTTTTTGTTTACTTTAATTAGTAGAAAAAATGGATGTCTGCCGATCGATTGTCAAAATAGTACGAGAATGGGGTATTGGAATTCGTTAAGTTTGCTGTTGAACACGCCAAAGATCCCAGTCGAATGAAGTGTCCTTGCTTGGGTTGTTGTTATATGGGTCGGGTTGACGCAGATGGATTGAAATCACATTTACTAATGCGTGGAATTGATAGAAGTTATATGTGTTGGATATTTCACGGTGAAAAAAGTAACGACAATGTTGAACCGGGGGAGAAAATTAGTACGACCCATGCTTCAGACGACAAGGACACAAATACATACGATTTTGATCGAGTCGAAGATATTGCAGATGCACTTGAAGAAGATCTTCAGGATTGTCCCAAAATGTTTGAGAGATTGGTAAACGATGCAGAGAAACCGTTGTATAAAGGTTGCACTAAATTCACAAGACTGTATGCGGTATTAAAGTTGTACAACTTAAAGAGGGGCAATGGATGGTCAGATAAAAGTTTCAGAGTTATTAGCCCGTATGATAGATATGCTTCCGAAGGATAATGTTCTTCCTAATCGAACCTATGAGGCCAAAAAAATGTTGTGCTCTTGAAACAACCGGCTGACAATCATCAAACAATGAAGTCGCCATCGAACGTTTTTTATCCCACATGTAGGGAAAGGTAAACATCGAGAAAACCTGATGAGGGAGAAGTCACGGTCTTGCGACCGAGAGATCGGGTAAGGGAGTCTGTTACGCGAGGGGAAGGTATTAGCACCCCACACGCCCGTAGTACTCTACGGTATCCACTCTTGTTATCTATCTTATGGGTGTGTTTAATCTATGCTTACTGTCTACTATTGCTACTGGAGAATGTATGCGAAAGAAAAGGGGAAAAGAATGTAGGGAAAATAAAATTGTGCTCGCTTGGGCCCTACCCCAATGCCTACGTATCCCTTTTAAGGAATCAGAGCAACCGTAGTTCGGCTCATATGTTTTGTTTGTTTGTGTTTTTATGGACGAAGTTAATTCCGCCTTCTACCGCAGCTCGACCTTTGGAGACTTATGCGTTGGCACAGAAGTAAATTAATCATGTCCTTACCTGAAAAGGGTTTTAGAGAAATGTGCGTGAGCGCACAAAAGATTTGAATTGGTTTATATTTTGTTGTAGATGTTTTTGTGTGGACGAAGCTAATTCCGCCTTCTGCCGCAGCTCGACCTTTGGAGACTTACGCGTTGGCACAGAAGTAAATTAATTGTGTCCTTACCTGAAAAGGGTTTTTTAAGAAAGGTGCTCGAGCGCACAAAATGGTTTGAATTTGTTTTGTATTTTTGTTGCAGATAATGACTAGTCGACCTCAAGAGAGAGATATTAGCCATTTTTCTACTTAGCTATGAAAGGAGTTTTTGAGAATTGAACCACGCCTATGCTTGAGATGAAGAACAATAAGATCGAGAAGAGACCCGCTTATCGTTTCCCGTACTAAGCAAAAAGCATGATTCTCATCAGTAGTTTTAAAGTGTTTTGAATTCTTTTGAAAGAAAAGAAGTTTTAGTTTTAGATGCGTATGCGAAAGGGGAGAGAAAAGTCAAAGGGACTAACCTACTTCTAAACCTAATGTTATTGTGCGTTAGTAGATCTGAAGTTAGAATTTTGAGGGAATTCTACCTAATGTTAGCACATATATGGTTTGTGATAAAGTACCGAAATGAAGGATAAGATAGGGTTGTGACGATACCGAACGGAGAAGGTCTGTTGCCTCTTCAAAATTGTGCAAGCGGTAAGAGAATTCTATCAAAGTTTCCTTGAACGAGTGATTGAAGAATTAACCCCGAGCATTCCACATTGCAAGAATTACATCGATGCTATCACAAAAATCTTGACTAAGAAATGGCAATAAAAATGATTACCAAATATGAAAAATAAAATAGTGAAAAGAAACTCTAATCGAGATTCTAAAAAGAAATTCTAAAGAGTTCTAAAATATTCTACCACTTTTTTATCATTATTTTTTTATATAGAGAAAATTCTAACAAACAAACAAGAATTAACTCCTAAATAAAAAAACTAACAAGTTTTTATGGATTTTAGAATTTTATCATAAAAAAGAAATAGACAAAATTATATGCAAAAAATAAAATCTTAAAGATTATGAGGACATGGGTGTAGTATTGAAATCAGGGTATCTGACTAATATTAGGTGCTAGGCCCAGTTCATAAATGAATCCAATATAAATTTTTGTTGCAGTAATGGCTTCAGGCTAAAAAAAACGGGCCTAAAGTTTCGGTCCATGGTCTCATTCAGCATTTTCATTCAAATTTATTTTTTATTTACTTAGTTATAATTATTATTAATTTGAATTAAAAAATAATAAAACAATGCAACAATTAAAACTAAAAAGAAAAGATATGAAATTGGAAAGGGGTTTTAGGGTTAGAAAGCTTATGCATCGCCCTTCTTCCTCCACGACGGCGCCGCTGGTCTCTTCATCTTCATCGCCGTAAATCCCCTCCCATCCGGCAATTCCTCACGACGGTGATGGAGAATAAAAGGCTCTGATGAAGGTCTCGACGTATAGGTACGTCTTCTTGTCACTTTTCTCGCTTCTGATGCTGCTTCTTCTTCTCTAAAAACACGCCCTCCGTTCACAGTTGTGGTGGCCTCAGCCTCTAATTACTCTGTTTGCGATATCTCACCATCGCTGCTTTTCCTTTATCCGTTCACAATGTTATTCTCATGACCACGGGCATCACCTTCAAGCTTTAGTGGTGTCGTTCTTCTTTAATTGTTTTATCTTTTCACGCTTCCGCGCGGGTTCATAGTCACCATACTTTCGTTTCAAACTACTGGAGAAAACATCTAGAACTTCTTCTATTCTCGTACGACTTTGTTCTCAATTCTTCTTCTACTCAATCTCTTGCGTTTTTCTGTGAATTGTTGCTTTCTACGTTTGTGTATTTGCGTCATTGTGTTGAAGGAGCAGAGAAGAAAACTGATGTGGTCGTGGATTCAATATTGTTGTAGGAGCGTGTTGTTGTTTGAAGAAGCTTGGAGATGATTGAAGTAGAAGATGAAGATGAACTAGTAGATTATGGCAGAGAAAATCCAGAGATTAGAAGCAGAGAAAAGATATAGCTCTTTTTGAATTTTAGTGGTGATTCTTCAAATGATGAAGAATCTGAGATGATGAAGATGATTTGTTGAAGAATCAAGATTGATTGCACAGAGAGAAAGTTGAAAGGTGAGTGTTGAAATTTTATGTAATTCTTCTTATGAATGAATCGTGCCAAGTTCAATATTGCAGAAGCAATAACTTTATACAGTTGGAGGAAGGTTGAAAAGTTAGTTACAACAGAACTAACTCTGGCCATTAGATCTGGTTTTCTATTATAAGAATAAACAGTGTATATGAGAGGTTAGGGAGTTAGTTTTAGCTAGTGATTCTGTTAGAAATTTTGTTAGTTGTTAGTTTTAAAGTTAGTTAGGATTTGGGAAATGGAAAGTTGGTTATAGTTAGTTATGGGTTGTTAGATGTTATGGTTTGTTAAGTTAGTTATCAATCTCTTAGAAAATTAAGAAAAGTTGTTAGGTTATAGTTATAGAGGTTAGGATTATTTAGGTTATTTTTGTTATGACAATTTGAGATGGACAGTACTGCACTAAGCTTATATTATGCATATATATTATTTTATTCATTACTGAGCTGTTGTTTGATTAATTGCAGGACATGTTCAAGAGTATCGACCAGTGTATCATAGACCTCTTGGGGGCAGCTGTCAGGGCCAGGTTTGTCATGAAGGTACATGATATCCAAAGTGAAGAGTCTCTGGTTCTCAGGCCACTGATGCTGTGGGCGCCCAGTTGATCTGCAGTAGAATAGAATCACTCTTAAAATGCGACCCTGCGTACAGGATTTTCTAGCTTCATGGGCAGCAAGTTGAAACAAAGTAATAAGGTCTGGTTGAGTGGTAGATGTAGTAGCAGAAAATCCTCGCACTGTTGCTATTGTTGACTCATCTTCGCTGCTAAACTCTTTCATCAACGATGAAACGGAATTGGAGAGAGTAGCGAAAGCGAAACGGTGTTGAGGATTGATGGTGAGTTTGGCATTGACAAAGAGAAGGATGGATTGCTTAATGGCGTCAAAACGAGTGATGGATTGAGGATCAATGTTAATGCAGAATAGTATATCTTCGTTGCTAATTGGTAAGGGTTCAAGATTGTAACTGCTGTTTGCTTTTCCTTCGACTCTTTGTTCTTCCATGGCGCTTTCTTTCTTCTTGCTAGCTTGTGTAACTGTTTTGTGAGAGAAAACTAGTGGGTTTATATTGTGGAACTTATAGGCTTCACATTTGTTTTTCTTTTTTTTTGTGCAGTAGGCAGATTTGGAGAAATTTAAAAGCACGGACAATTCAAAGCTGAGAATTCTGATAAGACAAGGATGCGATACGTTTCGAACTTTGGTCGTGAAGGATGAAGATTTAATCAAGAAGGGTGAGAGCCAGGGGCAAGAAAATTATGGAGTTTATCATAGGAGGAACATGAAGCTTATACACAATGTTTAGATTTTGTAGGATAGTATTTGTAATCTTCTCCTCTTAAAACCTTCTTTTAAATTGTATACTTCTTTTTGAGTAACTCTTGTGTGGTATTTGGATTCTAATGGAGAAGTTTCACCTACTTCTTCTTTTTCTTCAAATAGAACTCTGCTTATAGTTTGGTAGCATGATGAAATTAGGGGCATGATATCAATTTTCTCAAGTGCTCAAAGTATTGCCTTTTATTTTCCATAGAATCGTAATGATACGGTTACTCAAATGTAAATTGTAATGGTCATGAATATGAAGTCAAGTATGGTCAAGTCGTGGTTTTTTGAGCTCGTCTTGTAAAACAAAGTTGAATGATAGCTCCCTTTTTTCATGGCTTGTTGCTTGAACTCCAAGGAAACCCGCTAAATACATTTCCCAACTTTGTATGCTTAACGAATAAAATATGTAGCTTTGACGCCGTTTCGACAAACTTGAACAAATTTGAATTTTGTATCAAAAACTTGAATTAACACTTCACATTCCTAACTCAGCCCAATGAAACCTTAATTCACTTTGTTTTTTTATTTGTTCAATTCAACCCAAACTTGTATGCTAAGCACAAATATCCCGAAGAATGATGATACTTTACAAATCACAACATCTCTTTGACAAAACCCCTTCTCAATAGATGATAATGACTATGCCCTGAGGGATTCATTGCAGATGAATATGAAAGATGAGACATGCGAATACCTTGATATGGAATGAACCTCAGGCGGAATGCTGACAGGCTCAAGTATGATAATGTATAAACCCTGATTTTTAGCTTCGTCTCATAAAACCTTGCAACTTGATATTGAGAAGAAAATAATAGCCTCGTAGCTTGATGATGATAAGGTCCATGAAATGAAAACCTAGCTTTAAACAAATGATCGATGGTGAAATCAATTGAAACAAGCTTGTGCAAAGATGAAAGCCTTTTAAAGTCATACAACAACCCTAGTTCCATAATATCACTGATCTTATGCAAAATTATGTAGTTGATGAATGTATGCAATGTTAAATGACCTAATGGAAGTTATATATGTGAGAAAAAATGCAAAAATGCGTAAGCCAGATAGGAAGTAAAAGGGTAGGACAAATTTGGGGTATTACAGCTCTATTGGCATGAGCTATGATAAGATACATGCTTGTCCAAACGATTGTGTTTTGTTTCGAAACGAATATGCATCGTTAAATGAGTGCCCTAAATGCGGTTTATCTCGATATAAAAAAAATTGTCTCCAACAAAAGTCTTATGGTATTTTCCTATAATTCTGAGATTTAGGCGCATGTTTCATAGTGAAACTGATGCAAGTCACTTGACTTGGCATGCAGATGAAAGAATTATTGATGCAAAGTATCGACATCCAGCAGATTCACCATAGTGGTCGAAAATTGATGATGATTATCTTGATTTTGGAGAAGAAGCAAGAAACCTTCGTGTGGCATTATCTATTGATGGAATGAACCCACGTGGTCTTCAAAGTATCTCACATACCACATGGTCTGTGATTCTTATGATTTATAACCTACCTCAATGGCTATGTATGAAGTGTAAGTACATGATGTTATCTATGTTAATTTCTGGGCCTAAACAACCAGGGAATGACATAAACGTATACTTGACACCTTTGATTGAAGATTTAAAGATTTTGTGGGAGAACGGTGTGGAGGTTTATGATGGATATAGGAAAAAAGTTTCAATTTAAGGGCGATGTTGTTTGGCACAATTAATGATTTTCTAGCATATGGGAATCTAGTTGGGTATAGCATTAAAGGTCAACGTGTGTGTCCTGTTATGTGTAGTTAACAAAGGAGAATAATTCTGAAACATCTCTTCCGGCACATGTTTTGTGGAAGGAAGCCCGTGTGGTTAAGGATGAAGTTGTCAAAGAAGATGTTCAAAAAGTTTTTGAGAAATGTGTAAGTATAGCATTATTTCTTTAATTAAATCAAAAGTTTAGTAACATATAATTAAGACAAATTTTCAATATTCATATAAATTTCAGGAGACTATATCTCAGTCTATATGTCCATATGAAGATAATGATTGCAGGAGCATACTTAGTCGAGCATTAGATGTTCGTGAGTATTTTGATCAGGTGAGGGGTAAGGAATTTGGAATCACTCCAAAATCCTTGAAGATGAAAACACAAAAGACTCCTAGCAATAAAGAACTGCATGAAACCTCGGAAGTACTACAAGCTGAAGTCCATGAATTGAGAAGGGAAAAATAATTAAGAGAGCAAGCTTCAAGTTTTAAAGCTACTAGTGACAAAGGTAGTATCAGTTGTAATTTTCAACTTGTGGGAGATGCAATCGGTTCGTTTGTTGCATAGCCATCAAGCCTCATTAGTATAGATAATGATGTATGCTTAAAACCATATATATGAACCTATGAGTAATCAAAGTTTTTACGCGCATTTTATGTACATTTGTTTTTACATGGTTATGTTAATTAAATTCCAACAAAATCCAAAGTAAAAGATGTAACACCCCGTTTTAATTAATATTATTTATATTATTATTTTTTTAAAATGACCGGTTGATATTTATTTTGGTAAATTATTAATTATTTAGTCGATAATTCGGTCCGATATGTGATTAGTTGGGTTTATTTATTTTACCAAAAAATAACTATTTTTGTACGATAGTATTATATTTAGTGTGTAAATATTTTATTATATGTATTATTTGATCTATTTGTGAGAATGTATTTATATTAGTATTAATTGATTTATTATAAATTAATAAGTTAATTTTATTTAATTATATTAAATTAATTTAATAAAATATTAGTTTTTATTATATATATGTTACGTTAACTTACAGTAAGTATATAAGTTTTATTAGTTATATATGTTAATTTTATATATATATTTATAATAAGTAAGTAATATAAATAAGATAAATTAGTTTTATTAAATAAAATATATATATATATATATATATATATATATATATATATATATATATATATATATATATATATATATATATATATATATATATATATATATATATATATATATATATATATATATATATATATATATATATATATATATATATATATATATATATAACTTAGTTTTATATTATATATATAAGTTAGTATATATGTTATGTTAAGTTAGAAAAGTAGCAGTAAGTTAGAAACAGAAAGAAAGAGAAGTAGCAAGAGGAGAAGAGAAGTGGAAACTTAGGGTTGAAGAGAAGAGGGGAAAATTTCTGGAATCAAAGCGAATAGCTCGTTCTGGAGACTAATCGGTAAGGGTTAGACTTCCTCTAAACATCTAGTATGTTTTTATTTCATTTGATTTGGTATTAGTTTAGGATTTAGGTTGAAATAGGGAAGAAAATGTTTATGAAAAATAGTATATATTTTGTTGTTGTTGTTCTGTGTCTCGTTGTTGTTGTTATTCTGATAAGGGAAAGGAAAAATTATGGTTAATCGGTAAAACTCGATATTTTGGATACGATCGGAGACGAATTAAATTGTAATATTGAAATAAATTATAACAGGTTAATTAATTAGTAAAATTTTAATTAATAGAGTGATTAATTAATATAACTGGTTACGGTTAATCGGTAAAACTCGATATTTTGGATACGACCGGAGACGAATTAAGTTGTAGATGTGTTGAATATTCGAAATATTTTGTGAAATGCCGATTCCGGAAATAATGTGTTTGGTTTATAAATATTTTGGTGTTGTGTGATAATTGTTGAAATGAAATAATTGATGCTTGTTGTGCAATGTTGTGGGAATGATTCATGGGGTTGAATTATGGTGATGTATGCTTGTAATTGAGATTGGGTTAGTCTTGATTTGCATAATTGTTGTTGTTGAATTGCACACCGCATCATACATCGTGTCAAGAGGCGATGTCTGTTAGTCTCGTGGAGGCTAGTGGCTCGTCCCAAACTCACGGGAGTTAGTCGAATTCTCAACACATACAAAAACTATCGAAGTAAAGTGGGTGTTCAAGTTGAAACACAATGCAGATGGGTCAATAGCAAGACATAAAGCAAGATTAGTAGCTCGAGGTTTTCTTCAAAGAGCAAGACTTGACTACTCTGAAGTATTTGCTCCAGTAGCAAGATTAGAGACTGTTCGACTAGTAGTAGCATTGGCATGCAACTAAGGCTGGTCAACATTTCATCTAGATGTGAAATCAGTATTTTTGAATGGTCCTTTAGACGAAGAAGTTTATGTCACACAACCTCCTGAGTTTGTGATTCAGAAGGAAGCGAGTAAAGTATATAGATTGCACAAAGCGCTATATGGCCTCAAGCAGGCACCTAGGGCATGGAACAAGAAGATTGACTCATACTTAGTCTAATTAGGATTTGTCAAATGCAAATCAGAGTATGGTGTCTATGTTCAGGTTGTAGCACAAGATATAACAATCATCTGCTTGTATGTTGATGACTTGCTAGTAATTGGAAATAGTTTGTGGAACTTGTCGAAGTTCAAAGAGCTGATGACGAAGGAATTTGAAATGTCGGATCTAGGAAAATTGTCTTATTTTCTAGGCATGGAATTTCAAATGTCGAAGTAAGGTATGGTGCTACATCAAAGAAAGTATGTCAAAGAAATACTCAAGAGATTCAGAATGGATGATTCGAATCCTACATCCTCACCTGTCGAACCAAATGTGAAGTTGGAGAAGAATGGAGAGGAAGACAA